TAATTTTTGTGTTTGAAATTGTTTCAATAATTTATGTTGGTTCATTATGGGAATGTTTCCGGAAATGTTATGATTTATGTTCGATCCTGTCAGAAAGGTCAAAAAAGGAATTCATTGGTTCATTACGGGAATGCTTCCGGAAACGACTGAGTCACAGAAATTAATGAATGTTAGTTTCGAAGGTAACCACGATCAACAACCGTTAGGATGGCACTGCTGACCGCTCAGATTTTACGACAGCTAAGTAGACGGCTGTTTTCACGTGGTCGGAGACGTGCTCTTCTGAATCCCGTCAAGAGCGCGTCGTTGTTAACAAATAATCAGCAAGCGACGAGGAACATTCTATTCAAGATGAGTAATGATACACCACCTCGTGTTGTTGGTTACTATGTTATGTGGGTTTTTTCGTCCATTTTTTATTGCTGATTTGTAACTGCCAAAATTTTTTGAGCTTTTTCTATTCGTTTGCATCTGAATTTTTGTTCGATTCATCATTTTCCAGGATATGAACTCTCAAATATTATTCCTTCAGTGGGAGCGTTTGAAATTCGTTCTGTAATATTCCCAGTTCCATCGTTTTTTGAGCTTATTTTATCACTTAGGATTTTGATTGGTTAATACAGCCACTGTGTCTCATAGTGGTTGTTTTCATAGAAATTCAATTTCAGTTTTCCGGTAATTCCTGATGAAACGGTAGAAAACAATAAATATTTGGCCAATATAGCGTCAAGCACTGACTGGCCACTTCTATCATCTGCGACTCGTAAGTTTTTCGTCCAGTTTATCTAATTTGAAACGCCAATCTATGAAGTTCAATCCGGGAAAATTGAATAGTGCCGAAAATATCTTTTTTCTACTGTTTTCAGCGAAAGAAATGTACGAAGGAACGTTGCGTTTAATGATGGAATATGGCGCTACTGTAATGGAACACTTGGAACATCTTAAGACAGGTCTCTTCACTTCACTGATATGTTAACTTTATGACATTGTTACTCGAAGCATTTTATGATCATATGCAGTAAATGAAGTTCGATTCACTCGCCATCAAAAGCAGATAACTACCTCTTTGTAGATATCAGTACGTCTTTATAAAAGTACTGTTAGATATCAGTACTTCTCTCGTTGTTCCATATCGTTTTTGTCGTACAATCGGCAGTATCGTACAACTTCGAAAATTCTTCATTGCTTGATTAATTTTTTCCCGATCATTAATTTAGTGTTAACTCCACTCTCTTCCAATTGATTCAGCCACATGCTCATTCTGTCTCAGTGGCAATATACCATCGTGTCGTGAATTTACTCAGTTGAATGGAATTTCAGCGAAAGAAGATGAACGTTCATTCGAAACTGTTGTTGATCCGTTGTTGACAGAAGAGTACGATGTGAATTATGCCTTTCAGACATTAATTTTGAAGATGTTGACTGATTGGCCTTTGTGTAGTAATCGTGAATTCGAATCTGATATGCATCATGTTCGTTCAGTTTTTTGTTCGACCTTAAGCATGTTTGATTCCTTGACTTTACTCAATTACATTATCATCTGTTCATTAGTTTCACACAGAAATCATTGTAAAACGTGAATGATTATTGGCTAAGATAACAGGCAGTAGATGCTCATCGCTGTATG